TGAAGATGGAGAATTGGAGGCATACTTGAAGAAGATTCATGTCAGACGCTCGAAAACAAGTTGTCGGAAACATTAAATGTCGATGTGTCAACCGTTAGCAAACGTTTAAGGGGGCATATACATTTGACGGTTTCAAAAAATCAATTTTTTTTTAAATGCTTTTTTCGACAGTTTAAACCTTCAAGAATATTGTCCTAAAACCGTTTTTTGAGATTCCAATAAATAAAGAAGTTATAACACATTTTGCCCTTTCTAAAGCGGTGCGACGCGCCGCGCCGGTAGAAGAGCCGAAATCTTATATAACGTTTTTTTTGTTCTATTTACAATATAACTTTCCTTTGAAATTGAAATGTAAGTACTTCAAAAAACGATTCGTATAAAGTGAACATCGATGAATGCGAGCGATATTCGTCGATGTTCACTCTGTACGCAATTTCAGAGAATTAGTAGCCTTTTGACGTGTCAGAATACGTGAATTCAATTCTGCCTGTCTTCTTTCCGTTTTTCTTGTTTTGAGCACGATGAATAGGCGTAAAAGTTCTCGAAAGTTGCAGCAAGAGAACATTTTTCGGAAAAGTTTTACACGCAAGCAAAAAATGCCACCCAATAAATGACAAGTCGAGGGTAAAACCGCAATGACAGAAAGTTCAGCGAAAAATTATCAAATGGAGGCAAATTTTGAGCAGGAAGGTTTCTTGTGTGGCCCAGGAATTGACGATGACGTGTGAGTTGAATAAATTCAGTTTTTACAATAGAGTAAAGCTGTTTAAAAACTTTAAATGCGTTTTTCTCAAAACCATGTTTTTAAAATCGGTTACAATGATAACTTGAAGACGGATCCACCAATTTGTTTTTTTTTTTTAATTGAAATCTTATGAAATTCGCTTGTCGTTGTCGTATCCGATTTTTAAAATTCGAATTCTTTCTATTTTTTTTTTTAAATAAACAAATAAAATTTTTTGTCGAAAATCGGCACTTTAACTTTAAAAGTTCGCCATTTTGTTTAAAATTCGAATTTTAAAAATCGGATACGACAACGACAAGGAAATTTATTCTACTTTAAGATGCCGTTTGATTTTTGCGTTTGAGATAAAAGGGTAAGGAGAAATCGTTGTAACCGCGGAATCATGCATGGTGTACACGGCTAATTACACGACAGTGAAGTGGGAAGATTTTCCAACAAAATTACTCTAAAAAAATTTATATGAGAATTACAAAAGGTGTAATTTGTTATGCAAAAAGTCCCATTTTTATAATTTGTCTCTTGGTTCTAAAAAAAATTCATGAAGAATGCCTTTTCCTTTAGGCTTCAAATGTATATGCCCCCTTAAAGCAATGGGAACGATCTAGAAGTCAGGAATTTTGGTCCCATATGAATTGAGAGAAAAAAACATTGCGAAACGTTCAGCCATTTGTGAATTGCTGCTCCAAAGACAAAAACGGAAGTAGTTTTTGCATCGAATTGTGACTCGCGATGAAAAATGGACTCGTTACGACAATCCTAAACGCAAGAAATGTGGTGTGAAAGAAGGTCATGCTGTGCATTTGGTGGGATTAAGTCGGTGTCGAGTACTATGAGTTGCTGCAACCGAGTCAAACCATCAATGGTGAATGCAGCTACCGATGATCAATTACTCAATTTGAATCGATTACTCATAGAAAAACGCCCGCAATACGCCAAAAAATATGATAAAGTTATTCTTCTCCATGATAACGTCAGACCACATGTTGCACAACCAGTGAAGGAAATCTTGGAGGCAGTTGGATCACCCGCCTTATTCACTAGACGTTGCTCCATCAGATTAAATGTAAATTTTTTTATCATTTTTTTAAAAAGAGCAATGAAATAAAGTTAAATAATAAACTAATAAAATAATTTAGAGTGTATACAATATATATATTTCCCTACAATTCGTCATAATATATCCGTCTGTATGTACGCGGAACGGATTTGCAAGAATCATAAACGACCCCATAAACGCTCGATTTGTTTTACGAAAAGACAGCTTAACGTCGTGACGCCGTAATTGAATCTTCATAGACTCTCGAGAGCCTGTCATAATTATGTAGTACGAGACCTCCACGACGCTGCATTATCCAAAGATGGCGATCGTGACTTGATAATTAACGAGGATTTCTGGATTCAGATAAACGTTACGGACATGCATTTAACCGTAATAATCATTAGTATATAATTACTTAATTGTTTGTCAAGCGTTTAGATATTATGTATGTTGGAGAGCTCTCAGAGAGTGACATTATATTTTTTTTTGACTTCTCGTTTAATCTGTAAATGTGCCGTCTTACGATATCAGAAGCAAGCATAACTGCAATACGATCGTCAAACCCATAAAAGTCCCATTTCCTCTCTTTGCTAATTACTGAACTATGCTAACAATCTCCTGTAATTGGTACTCAATCATGTATCCTCATATTATAATGATTTTCATCGACAGAATCATGGCGGAAAGTACCTAATCAAATTCTTCGCTAACGGGGGAAACGCGTTTCAAAAAGAAACACGACTCGTCAAGTACGGTAGGCGGGCAGTTCGCACGAACGCATCGACGATTACCGGAAGTGTCGATCTCGCATGGCGAACGTGCCTTGGGCGCCTGCGGAACATCACCAGCCTGCGAACCTGTCGACCAGGCCTCGCGCCAGACAAGACTGGTTGTGACGTAAAGGTCAGGGGCATCCGCGCGTACGCGGAATAATTTTTTCTCGCGCCCACAACGGTCGGGGAGACACAACGTCTACCGTGAGATTGTTAAGGTCGTTCGTACTACCATTGCATATCTTATTATCGCTTGATATAAATCGATGTGAATTGGAACACAAGAATATATCTGTAACTGTAGATAACGAAGAGTTTATTTATCTTTACCTAAGCTGTTCGATTTCATAGAAATATGAGTTCTGTTTTAAGAACTTGAGAGTTTCAATGAAACAAATTGACAATATTTGTTGTCATTTTAATATCATATTTAACGTTTTTTACATCATTTTTTAACGTCAAAATGACTATAAATAACATCAGCTGGGATGTAACTGAATCGATGCCAATAAATCTGTAAGTTACCTATATTCCCATGTCTTCTTCACAGATGAAAAGACACATTCCGCGAAATCCCGGAAATCCGAGTTTCTCAGGTAACTCGTGACCTCGCATAAGGCTAAGAAGAAATCCGTGCTTCTTCCGTGCGCACGCATTTCTTTCACCTCCGCAGTCGCATTAATCTTCGTAACAGTGCATCAACCTGCCTACCGAGCGCGCCTAAGCGCATTCCTCATTGTTAGCGCGCGACTTTGCCACGACGTGCATCTCGTGGGTGCGGGATTGCGAGGAGACGCCACGGGACCGCAGATGGAGAGGGGAGGATGAACCTTTGGCCTCGGTGCAGGCCACGATGTGGCTCTCCTTCCCTCTGGCGATCTCCAATGGAGCTCTATTATACTTGGTGACCTCGAACTCCACGAAACTACGTGGCTAATCTCGAGCTGTTCGGGTATGATGATCATATCTGCATTCTCGTTATCGTAATGTAGGCTGGCAAATCAGACGTGCACGAGCGGGAAGAAAGTTGGTCAGCAAAGTTGACTTGTTGGGAAATCGGGTGAACTATAGTTGCGCGCAGATTTACGTAATAATAGCATTGTTCAGATTCTTGGAGCATCCGCGAAATGTATTCAGCGCTAAAAAGATGAAGATCCGTATAATTTTTTATTATATCGCTTATAGAAGCGTATTAGACAAGTAGACGAATGGAAAGTATCGATATGTAGAACATTTTGTGGTTTTGCGGACATTAGACTCTCGTTTCTTAAGAAACTAACATCCTTTGCGCGAAGAAATTAAGGACAATAACGAAAACGGCCGGGTTTCAGAAATTACCTGCATTAGCGTGACATGTCCGCCACGGGCTAAGAAAAGATTGATTGTGAAGGAAATAGGTACGCACGTTCTATTTTCGATACTCACGCATGGCGGTCAAATTATTTCTTGTGCGGCGCTGTTATATTACCGCGAGATAAATTATTAGAGATACTAAAGAGAGAGCATGAAAAGCCGATCTGGCGAGCCACGGGATCAAACTGGTCGTCCCGTGATCAAGACCCCACAACATCGATGAGAACGGTGAGAAGGGCGTCTCCCGCGTAACTAGATGCGGGAAAGGAACAGAACAAAAGAAAAACGGCAATAGGAGGAAACTAGGAAGCGATCTCTCGTGAAACGCGAGCAAAACGTAGTCCCGCGCGGTGTGCGGGAAGTTGCAGCACTTGCACGCTTCCAACTAGCGTGCAAGCAGATTGCAAGAATACACTCGACGGCATAGCGAACGACGCGATTTTCTTCGACTGTATCTCGGCGGAATCATCTTCTCGAACTTTTCATGAGTATTAAACTCTCGTTCAGCAAACGACCATATCGCCCAGCAGATTCTCCGCGCTGATGAGGCGTGTAACCGGGGTGATTAACTCTACCCTTTCATCAGAATCGAGTCTGATCGAAAATTATGCCGGATTAGCGTGTATCTGATTACTTGAAAGCGGAATTTCCGCGCGTGCAATTTAAATTAATACTCAGGTATTGACTTGTTTTATTGGAGAAACGACACTAGTATTCCTGCACATTCGATGTGTGTTATTATGTATTTTTAATTATTTGACGTACGTGGCGCGCAAATTTTACTGAAAAAAAAATTTTTAATCTAAAGTTTTGCTAAATACATATCTGAAAATAGTTTTGTTGGACAATTCAAATAATTTTATTGTTGAAATTTAAACTGGTTACTAGAGAGAGAAAGAGAGTAATTATTTTATTTTAATTCAATAAAATGATTTTTATAGATTTCTCTGTATCCAGCAAAATTTTAGATCTTTTAGCAAATTTTTTTTCTATGTAGGAATTAGCTCCGCGCCAACTCGAACAACAATACTCGGTCAAGCTAATTCTAATTACGGCTTCTGTAAGTGAGGTTTCCTCATTCTCATTGCAGATGGGCTCGTTTGCGATCGGAACGGTAACATCCACGACCGCGAGCCTGATATTCATGGCACTGTTGGCGAGCAGTGAAGCTGCGTTGGGTAAGTTTTTTCTAAAATTAGTCGAGGCTTTCGTCATTACGTTCTGACGGAAATTTGTGTTGAATAGAATTCTATAAGAACCTTCCGATTGCTCATGTAATGAAAGTACCGAGGATGTTTCTGTAGAGGCAAAATTGCTTCCACGTTTCAGCCAGGACGGCGTTCGAGAAGCTTACCGACTACGATTACCGCGGCACTACCTATTACAGCGTGAGGAATCTGTCGTTGTACGAGTGCCAAGGATGGTGCAGGGAAGAAGCGGAATGTCAGGCCGCCGCGTTCTCGTTCGTCGTGAATCCCTTGGCGCCGATGCAGGACACCCTCTGCCAGCTGCAGAACGAAACGGCCGCCACGAATCCAGCGGCACAGCCTCAGAGGGCCGCCAATATGTACTATATGACGAAATTGCAGATAAGATCCGGTGAGAATTGGCGCATCCGTTAAGCATTTAATACTTACGTTCTTTCAATTCTTGAATATTCTCTCGAATAAGAGAAAGGCCCTGCCTGCTATTATTGATGCTCGTTAATGTGATTCAATACCTAGGAAGCGGCGGATGAAAGAATAATAAATGGAGAAAAAAAAATGACAAATGAAAAAAATAATTTACACAAGACTGAAATTTTTACGATGGGAAAGACCGTTATGATATTTATGTGCGCAACAAAATAATACGAAGAATAGACCGTGAAATACGATAATCTGAGTTTTAAACTCAAAGCGGATAGGTTTGTCTGTATCGGCATAGCCGCTTTCACAAAGCAAATGCTAACTGACGGCATTTCGTCGAATAGAAAAAAGGGTCACCTGGACAAACAATACAACTAAAATTGTTAAGTATGGCTAGTTAAAAGATTTAAGAACGATTTAGTTTGTTTAGGAAAACAATAAACGTCATGTATCTTTATAAATAAAGATACATTTAAATTGAACGCATTTAATGCTCTAAATATTATATTATTTATAATATATTTTATAACAGTAAGAATTAATTAAATTATTAACAATAATAAAAAATTTTCTATTAATATTTTTATAACAGAAACAATTTAATGTAGTATCAGGAGACGCGGTAGTGTCTCCGGCCATGTTCAAAAACTGATACTACATTATACTGGCAAAAGCGACCAAGTAGGGTAAACCCGGTATATACGCCGCACCTATCGAAAACTTAATTTATCAATTATTATTTACTATGTTTAAAGCAAATTAATTATACAAATAAAAACTATGTATCATCTACTCTACTGTAAAAAAAATATTAGAAATCCAAAATAATTTATTTTCCATATTAAAAAATAACTTTTTCAAACCCTTGCATTTTTGCCATTTATCCCATAGGAGGGGGATAATATGGCCACTCATATATAATTCATAAGAAAATCACAAATAATCTATAAATAAGATGTAAAATGACGACGTAACTAGCATTGTTTATTAATATATGACAATTTTTATTGTTCAGAATGAAAATTGGAATACAAATAGGACTTAATACAATTTTTTAAAATAGCTTCAAATCTTTGAAAATAATCTTTAAACGTTTAAGATTTATCAATATTTATGCATTAATGCAAAATATAATTGTTAGAATTAACAAAAACTTCTTAAATAGAGCGTCTGTGTTGCGGCACAGCATCCCGATCGCTAAAAATGCCGTATATCCCAAATAGATGGGATATATATGACAACTAATTAAACAAACAATACAGGAGCAAAGCACTTGTATTTTGCTATACAACATGCTTTACTATTCTACTACACATATGTATTACAAAATAACCACTAAGTCTTTTACACGCTCTATAATAATCATTTTATGTAGATTATAAATTATGATGGCACTTCTTATTACAGTAAAAAATCGATTTAACTCGCAATAATTTCATTAATATTAACAATAAAAAACTAAAATCATAATATAATACTAATATACCATAAAGGCATGTAACAAAGTAATTGACGGAAAATTATCCCCACTTCTTCTCTTTTTTCTGACTTCTGCGGCGTATTTCCTGATGCGGCGTATATACCGGGTTTACCCTAAGGATCATTCTTTAGGAAATAATATTTCAAAATTAATTTTACTTTAAAACAAAATTACATTATTACAACAACTATTATAGTAGTTATATTACAATTACATATGTATTATAGCGCCAGATTAAGTTTGAGTTAAATTATAAAAATATATAAATATAGGGCATATAAGAGACAAAAAATAAAAATTATATAATATATCTATTTTAAAAAACAAATAATCATACAATTGACAATATTATAGGTCTACTATATGTTTCGACTTCTTATTAAGTCATCTTCAGATATAAAAAAAATATTATTACGCAAAAAATAATCGATGATTTTTGAAAAAAAAAAAAAAAAACGAATGAAGCACAAATGAATTAAAACACAGAGACACGTAAATTGCTCGTCAAGCGATTGGTTGATCGAATGCGAAAATTTCTCGTTGTTCTCAAAGTCCAAAGAATTGAAAAAAAATCATGTCAATGATGAAATATTCGTCAATAATTAGATATTTAAATTGTGATTTGAAGTTAAAGTAAAAGTAAAAGAATAATATCATAGTAAGTGTGCATAACGTCCGATGTATAAAATTGAAGTAAATTAACTAGTATATAATGTTGAAACAGATAAAGATACAAAATTATAAAAATCACTGCTGATGATTAAACACGTCTAACTGTCACAACGAACAAAACTGTGATAATCAAGTTTAAGTTAAATGTTGGTACTATAAACAATATTTTCCTTTAAGAGAAACTGGAAAAGAAACTTCTCACAGGTGGTCAGGTAGTCTATCCTTCGTTCGTTTTTCGACCCTCGTATTCGTGCAATAACCTTTACTTTTCAGTAGATTTTCACCGGCTAGGTCGGCAGCATTGCAGTAATATGCTGGTTTTGTGAAACTACGCCGAACGCATTTAAACAGAAAGGTTGTCACAAAGCTACCTGCACACTCGCAAACCTTGAAAATTCTTAGAATATTGAAAAGGTTCTAATATTAACTTAAGCCTGTTTAGGAAAAAGTATCATCACGTTGAATGACTAACGAAAGAATTTTAAAGAAACTCGCTATTTTTGCGAAATGCATGATTAATTTTCATATTGATATATGCATCCATGTAAAATTTATTGAATGAAAAATAATATCCTATATAAGGAAATAGGTTTTTAATGATTTCTTTTGAAAAAACTATTTTGCCATACATATACGCAGACATTAGGCGTCGACTTAGAGGGGCAGAGCACTTTTCACGTCCTCCCCAATAAAATTATTGAAGAACTGAAGCCCCCTAATAATTATCTTTTTGGTTTTTCGACAAAAGATTTGTTAATAATAGCAAATAATTTCTACAATTAAAATTGCGAGAAAACGTTGGCAATACGCTATAACTGTATAGTAACGTTGAACGACAAACTGTATAGTTAACGCACCGTCTGCTAATTGGAAAGAAAACTTTTTTCTCGATTTTGTGCATTGAATATTCTGTTTGTACAATTTATTTTATGTGTAAAAGTGTATATTTCAATACATTTCTATTTTCCCCTTTCAATAATGTAAAGACTATTTAAAAAAGTTTATTATTTGAAATGCTTTTGCCTTGTCCCCCCTAATTTTTTTTCCCAAATCAGCGCCGTTATACGCAGATATAATCTTTGTGTAGCTTATATACATTCTCCCCACAACATTTTTCTGTAAACTTCTACAGTTGCAAACAATATTTTTGTGAAATTCTTTGATTTCTTTAATAAAATCAGGTTTTATTCAATATTTTAACACACGCTCTTCTGCGGGAATTTCCGGAGGAAAATTTCTTGCTCTTCAAGAAATTGCGCGCATGTTATCCATTTAACGAGTAGGGCGATTTTCTTGGTGAGTTGTTCTGCGTCGCGTCGGAAGACACTTATATACGCTGTTTGTTATAAAACCGCTCTCTATCTACATCGATCCATGAACAGGATGAACAAAAATTTCGAGAAAGAATGGGCTTTGTTCCATTGATCGTTACAAATCAGTTTGCTGCAGAATTTTACATAAACTTTACCTTTCTTCAGTTTTCTTCGCACAAGAAAGACACTTTATTTGCCAATCCCTGTGCTCTGTCCCTACTCGTAAAATATACAAAAGACTACACAATTCTTGAAAAGAAGGAATGGAATCGAACTATTTAAAACACGCTTACCTTGAAAAACCATTATTGTTATATCTTTTTCAATAGGAGCATATTTTAGGAATAAAGAAAAATTTTTCACATTCCTAAGATTTATAAGAAATTTAACTAACCAGACATCTAGGATTTTTATACTTTGACTTACTGAAGAAGTCAAATAATTTATTTGCAGAAATTGTGGCAACGTTAACTTTGATTATCATTACATAAATTATAAAATAATAAAATTACAGCCAATTTCCAATAAAAAGTGTGCAAGGTTCTTTAGAATTAAATGTAGTAATCCAGTAAATGATGAGTAGACTTTCAAAATGCGTTTCGTCGAAAATTTTATTTTTTTAGTTAGAGATGACGTAGTATTCAGTGTTGAAAGACTCGTATTATAAATTATTCAGAGATCATTTTTCATCGTTAATTTATATGCTGAGAAAACATAAATATTTCCAAGTGCATTATGTTTTTTAACTAGAGACAAACTAAATGCATTTGTTTAATATTTTTAGTAATTTTGTTTAATACTTCACATCCTACTGATCGACATATTATTACAAATTTTGAACAAAACGCATTTTGAACGTCTGCTATTTAGGTAAATATCTTACATAATCGATTAATGAAATAATCATCGCCCTAGCCTAAAGCTTCGCTCAGAACGAAAAATTTGTCAGCGGCCACGGTCAGGAATTTGTATGGCCATTGGTGATTCATCCGTGAAGTAGTCATGCGTCGCAGCGGTTCGTTGGCACCGCTTCCGCCATCATCGGTAACTCTAGCGCCGGTTTTGAGGGTGTAACAAAAGAAATTGGAACTCCGAACGGAATCAGCCGAAATACATTCCGAACCCGTGTGCCAAAGAGCGTAGTTACGTGCGTCATCATCGCATTAGTGATGCCAAGTCACATGACAGCGTCTCATGATTTTTCAGCGTAGAATCTTTAGCAATGGACTTCATACAATTCTCCCGTCTTTCGTTACGTCATATTCCGGGAATCTCGATTTTTTATTATTTCAAAAAAGAAAGCAATAAGTTAAACAGCAAATTATTGACAATATTTTCTTTAGTTAATGTTAATTTTATTGTTTACTTGTGTTGCTTTTAGTATAATTAGTTGAATATGAATAAATTTATTTAGATCAAGAACTGTGATTTTCCTGGCTTTTATCTGGTGATTTCTCGGATTTAATTTTTTTTATGGAGAAAATGAAAACATGCTGTAACTCTTTCTACAATGTTATTTATCACTGAATCGTCAAATATATAATATTAAAATATTTGTATAACTATAAATAAAGTACGTTTGTCAAATCTGCGCAGATCGTATCATAAATGTGAATGCGTTATGAGAATGCGTATATAATACAAAGGATGAAATATCTCTATAGATCTATATTATTTTAGAGAACGTTTGTTTGCGACCATGGGCCTTCGAACGCATTCCAAATAAAATGATTCGCGGGTTGGACAACGCATTAATTTATACATCCACAAAGGAAGCTTGTCTCGCGGCTTGCTTAAACGAGCACCGCTTCACCTGTCGTTCTGTTGAATATAATTATGTGACGCTTCAGTGTCATCTGAGCGATTCAGATCGTCGAACGACGGGTCAATACGTTCAATTTGTGGATGCACAAGGAGTGGATTATTTCGAAAATTTATGCCTGAAAGGTAAGCGGTCGTGAAGAAAATGTTGGAAAAATAATTGTAGATATTGTCGACGAAAAAAAAAATAAAATTGTCTATGTAATCGGACGCTAACAGGAAAAGAGGCATGTAAGGCTCAAAGGATCTTCCAAATGCCCAGAATCGGTGTGGCAGACGATAAGGTTGCACAATATGCAGGCCTGCACTATTACACGGATAAGGAGTTGCAGGTTCAAAGCGAGTCCGCTTGCCGATTAGCCTGTGAAATCGAGAATGAGTTTCTTTGCAGATCTTTCCTTTACCGCGGCGCGCCACAAGGATCGGCTTATAATTGTCAGCTCTTCCATTTGGATCACTGGACTCTCCCGGATGGACCTTCCACATATCTTAACGCGGAGAGGCCTTTGATCGATAATGGAGAACGAGTTGGCACTTACTTTGAGAATTTCTGCGAAAGTAAGAGATATAGATTAAGAGAATTTAAACATGTATGCGCGATGTATTAATCATACCTACACGTTGCTATTTTAGAGGGTACCGGGCCAATATCGGACCCATTGCCGGTCGTTTTTGAGACTACGGAAGATTCTACAATAAACAATCTCACTCGAAACGACATTAATTGCGATAAGACCGGAACTTGTTATGATGGTACGAAATTGATATCGTAATAATGTAATATACCATATAAAAATGTAAATATATAATATAATATTAATCTTTTCTAACTTAATGTTAATTTTAATGATTAATATTTCAGTATCGGTTGACTGCAAAGACACTCGTATCGCTGTTCAAGTTCGTACAAATAAGCCTTTCAATGGACGTATTTATGCTCTCGGACGATCTGAGACTTGTAATATTGATGTTATTAATAGCGATCTCTTCAGGCTCGACCTCACGATGAGCGGACAAGATTGTAATACTCAAAGCGTGGTAAGTATAATATATAAAATGATGGAAGCACCATTGGAAAGTATTGTAGCTGCATTTTCAAGAGTATTTTTTAGTTGTAATAAATTTTTTTGAAAATTATTTTGTTTGTATTTTTCTAAGTACTTGTACATACCTATATATGTTACAATTTAATAATTACAATATTTTCTATTGATGTCTTTGCAATATGCATGCTTTGAAATATGCATGCTTATAAATAATTACATTAAGCACTACTAAGCACTGCAAATATCTTATTACATGCCCAATATTCTCGATCTGTCACATTTGATCATTATTTAATCATTGACTAACACTGCACAGTTGTCATCAATACGCAACATAAACATTTGTTCTCACACGTTTATATTTTTTAATAAAATCTATAAAGATTTACGCATAATGCACGTCCCTCTCTCTTTGAGTACATAATCTCTGTTTGTACTTTCTTTTCACCATGGCAGCGTGACGGTTTTCAGACTGGAATATATTCAAACACGGTTGTACTGCAACATCATTCCGTGGTAATGACAAAGGCCGACAAAATCTACAAAGTTAAATGTACGTATGATATGTCCTCGAAGAATATTACATTTGGCATGATGCCGATCAGAGATCCAGAAATGATCAGTATTACTAGTGCACCGGAAGCACCTCCACCAAGAATTCGCATCCTCGACAGCCGATCGCGAGAAGTTGAAACTGTACGCATTGGTGACAAATTGACATTTAGAATCGAAATCCCGGAAGACAGTAAGTTTTTTTTTTTAGTAAATTAATTTTTCTCTTAAAAAAAGAAAAGACATTATTCAATAACGATAAGATGAATTCCTAACAATTTACAAAAATTCATATTGATATTTTGCAGCTCCTTACGGCATTTTTGCTCGTAGTTGCGTAGCTATGGCAAAGGATTCGAAAAGCACGTTTCAAATTATCGACGACGAAGGGTAAGTCCATTTTATTTTGTTTAGCTTTTCTCATTTATACTTGGCAAAAAATAAAAAGCTAACAAAATCTTAAACATTTAAATTTTCAGGTGTCCCGTCGATCCTTCCATTTTCCCCAGTTTCACTCCAGACGGTAACGCTCTGCAATCTGTATACGAGGCCTTTAGGTTTACCGAATCTTACGGCGTGATCTTCCAGTGTAACGTGAAATACTGTCTAGGACCTTGCGAACCGGTAATTAATTGATTTTTCATTTCTTTTATTATAGGAATAAGAAATAATTCTCTAATAATTTCTTTCATTTCAGGCCGTTTGCGAATGGGGACGTGAATCCGTGGAATCGTGGGGCAAGAGACGCAGAAGAAGTATTGCAAATTCAACGGAGGAGAAAGCTGAAGATATGACTCTGTCTCAAGAGATTTTAGTGCTCGATTTTGGCGATGAGAAACAGTCCGAATTTTTGAAGAGCGATGCCAGCATAGATTTTAACGAAGCAGGTAAAATCACGAACATAGGTTCGCATACCTGGAAAAAATGTTTTAACTCGCCCCAAAAACTGAATTGTATTTCCGCTATTGTATTTCCAGATAAAACAGTAACCATTGTGGAGCCATGTCCAACAAAAACTTCGGTACTGGCGCTCGGGGTAACGTGTGCTCTTTTGGTGCTCATCTATATCTCTACGATTTTCTGTTACTACATGAAGAAATGGCTGACACCTCGTAAAATGATGCCTTAAAAAACGGAAAAGATTCGTTCGCAGAGCGCATTTGCAAAAAAATAAATAGGAAAAAAAAATGGTAACGAAGAGTGCGAGAGTTCACACATACATTCACACGCACACACACGCATTCTCATGTCGTAAGTTATAAAAGGATTCATACTTCGCCCTTTCATTTCTATTGTATGTTCATTTTCATTATATCTGCAATGGATAAAGCGCACACACACAAGGAGATAGAAGATAAGAAATCAATATTCAAAAGAGGTAATCATATTATTATGACGCGCATCTGAACTGCCTTAATGCATTTTGCATTCTGTGCAATATATCATTGATATGTGGATAGGTTATAGAAATCGATTATACGATATCAATGAATACTGATATTATCGATAAAATTATAATGCTTGTTCATATAGACCGACATTTTCGACAGAATTATTTGAAGCTATTAATAATAGAACGCATGAAAATAAGTCTACACAAATATTAAAAATTATTTTAACGAGATGAAGATTATATGAATCTCTCGTACTATACATATATTGAAATGCAAACACCTACGCGAACTCGAGATCTCGGATGAAGAGAATGACTCGACTCTTCTCAGCTGAAGTGATATTTAGCAAGGAACATGAATATCGTAACTCTTACGAAGGTAACAGGTATTTTAAGACAGTCAAAGATTATATAACAAATGCGTAAATTGTAACAGTGCAATATTACATTTTCGTTAAATGCTAAATATATTAGATGACTGCCAGGCTTTAATATATACAACCACTTAGTGTGGATGCGTGTACTTAATAAGCTATTTATTTTTGGCCACCAAAATGTGCTAAAATATCGTTAAAATAGTAATTGCGACTGATTTTTGCGCTGATGCGATTTATTTTTATGTACAAGGAAAACACAATGCTACATCAGCGACTGTGATTGAAATTTGAATGATGGTTTGTGCATGTCGAACGTTAGAAGTGTTGTAAACGTTGAAAAGTTGGCGACTGACTCTTCCGCACATACACACACACATACAGACACACGCATACGTACACATACGACATATTTCGCGAAGCTCACTCGCGACTAAGACCACCTTGAAGATGCAATCAGTAGATTTTATTTAAGAATATTCTTAGAAACAGCTAACTGTGTCCTCTAGTGGCTACTTCTGATCGGGTTGCAAGGAGAACAGGAGTGAGCGACAAATTTATTTTTAATGTTGCTCAAAGTGAAATTTTTGGTACTGTCTGAACGATTGAGATAGTTCTGGTTCATAGTTAACGGAGATCGATTTGTAACCCGCATCAAGACTAGCGATATTTAAAGGTTCACGCTTCACTAACGTCTTTAATGATACAAATAGCATTAAGATAGTGATTAAGCATAGACGAAAAAAAAAGGGAATAATTGAGAAAATATTTTCTCGGATTTAGCGAATTCTTGAAACGGTTCGTATTTTTTACTAAAAAAAAAAAGAAATGAAGAAAAAGACAACGATAAATTTTATTTACGTGCACAAATTTAATTTATCTGGAAAAGAGCATTAATATTATAGCTACTATTATAATTGATGTTGGAATTAGAACTGAATTAACTGAGTCGAAGGAAATGTCTCAAAGTACGAACTTCTTGTAAGAAGTCGCTAAAACTCTTTCAAAACTTACAAGCAGGAGTACCTCTACTCATGAAACTCGTACTGATACTGGAAATGAAAAAAAAAGCACTAGGTCATTCAGTTTCTGAAGTGTAGATAGTCTTCTGCGTATTTCTGAAGCTCGAAGGTCTTTGAAATTTTAGCTGTATGCGTTCAGAGTGTTAAAACAAGAAATACTCGAGGTACAATGTACTGTCGGCGAGATAAGTGGCCGAATAATTTTATAAGAACAATGATATATTTTCTTCCAATTTATCGACTCCACTCAATTTATAAACTCGTTCAATTTATAAATATCTTGCTGAACATTCTTCTCGTTTCTTCAAATACTGCCATAATAAATACGAGCACGTAAATATCTATTTTGAAATAAAATCTTTGTTTTAAAAATAAATATGTAAATAAATACTTCAATATTATATTTTGTTAATTTATGGCGTAAATGTTGAGACGAGAGAAACACATTACATTCGTAAAAGTAGGAATGAAAGTATTCGATTTTAAAATATATACTTTACAAGAATCAATTTTACAACTGTTTTATTTCTTTAAAGTAATTATTAAGTAATTTATAAATATAATAAATATGTATTAATTTGAAATATAGCGACATATCGGTTTGATATTATAGGCGGATCTTTTTCTACTCTAGAGACGTTACGTAATTCATAAATAGCACAAATTGGGTGGAGTAAATTAAGACTTCCGGTTAAGGTGCTTACTCTAAAAGGGTCACAAACAAAATTGACAATTTTTTAATCAAAAGAATGAAGGATTAAGAAAGATAGCTTTATTAATAATTCAATTATTTAAAATTTTTTTAATTTATACAATATATGTTTGTAAGGACATGATAAAAGAAAGAAAGTTGAAGTAAATTAAATTATTATATTAATATTATTATATTAAAACTATTGAAATTTTTATCGAGTTTATGTGTGTTACGTTAAAATAATATTTATTTATTTAGAAACGCTTACGTGACTCCTTATACAAAATGTATATATTTATATATATATATATTATTATTATTATTAAGTCGAACTGTGCAGTAACATTCAGAAATGAACACACATACGCATCAATACGCATCAATCACATATATTTGTACCCTATTTATATACGCGAATGTTTCAATAATTAAAGTCAGATCAGTTTTGACAAAATCTTTTTTTCTTTTGTAACCATTTATTTACAGAGCTGCTTACGAGAGAAATGATACAGTGCCTACAGAATCACCAAATTGACTTTTAGCTTACATATATGGTAAATAGAAAATAAAATAAGATTTATTTTTCTGTGAAGAAATTGGTTTGCATAAGTAAAATGTTATTCACGAAAACTAAAGCTATACACAGAAAATGTGGCAAAAAAATCACTCGTTTCAGAAATAAAAATTATATTTGATTGTGTCGATCAAATAATTGATATTTTACAATTTCTTCCATGTAAATAAATCATCGACTTGGTCATGCGCCAACAAACCATTACACCGAACTAGTGACTAATCGATCTGAATATAGAAACATATATGGATGGTGCACGTGTGTATGTTTATTATTACGATAAATAATTATAGACTGATATCGTTTGACATACTTAAAGTTTGAGTAACACACTGTGTTTGTTTAAATAATGTCTCTCGACAAACGCGAGTCCCTATTTTCTAAACTCAATAACATTTGTCTTTCATATGATTATATTATATATATTTCATGTATAAATACAAAAAAATTATATTATTTTATAAATTTTAATATTTATTTTTTGCTGATATTTCGCTCTTGTGAGGTTGCATTCTTTCTATTTATACTCTTTAGGCTCTTTTAACATTTTTGTAACCGCTATCTTTGCGCAAAAATATCGATCGACCAGTCCATTTTAGAGACATCGATAACACGCGTCCCACGGATAAAACAGCATCTTTTTACGCTTATCATTTTTTTTTAATTGCTCAGTCGATAAAGCAAATCGCCATCTGAGCGGATTTACAGCACGTTTCAGGCCGCCCGCCGTTGTGAATCTCCTGCGATCGAAATCGTGGGGTGATATGTATGTCTCACCCTCGTGGAATTCTACTTTCTCGGTAGAAGGATAAGGGGAAAAGAGAGAACGAGAGCGTTGGTCAACGCGCATTGAATCGTCGAGTCTTGTTACTATAGCAAACAACCAGTCAACCTCGATCCGCCTTCGCTAATGATAAGATAAAGGTTAGCGCGTGCATGTGCGTACATGTGTATGTGTCAAGCTCGTCGTAAAAAAATAATCATCGATGTTGCACCACAGCTAAGTTCTCTCATATGTACGTGTGTGTCGGTGCTGAATGTCCACACTCGCGTGATAAGATTTCTTCTCACCGTTTGCGGAATTTCCGCAATTGCATCGATCAACCAATCGTCCGTCCGTCGGTCCGTCTGCAGTCGGTTCATTCATTGTGTTTCTCGCAGTTTCTCGATGGTTCGTTCGTTCGTTTCTCGATTGTTCGCTTTTACGGTGCAGGCTACTGGCTGCGCGTGACGAATGGATACGCATAAAGACGGGCGTATCTCTCGTGACGCACGAACGAAGGAATCTCGGTAAAATGAGAGTTTCGTGAGCCGTCGCAGAGAGCGGTTCCGCCTGAAGTTAGCTTGTCGGGGGCTACAGGTAGGCAGGTATGCGCACGAGTAGGCGCCATCGCACGACCGCCTACAGAGGAGGTATATTTCTACACACTCAACGCGAGCCGACTCGAATCTGACTGAACGCGCAACATTTAATATACACACGTGTTGCATAATCAGGGACATATTAGTTCAATAACTTTATGGATTAGATAAATTTACTCATCCGATGTTTTTCAGCTTAAAATTCGATAATTTTTTTATTATAGAATAAATATAAGTATCTATAGTACACATACTTCCGTTCAGAAAACCCTTTATATATCCCCTGAATATCCTCAGAACGCAGGAATATCTGTCGGATAAAGTATATCGTATAGGTAGATATTTTTATGAAAATATAATAATATAGATATAAAAAAAACTCGCAAATTGTTTTAATTATAACAAAAACTCAGCAAATAATCATTATTATTCTATGAGTGTTCCTTATTAATATTTACATTCGAAAATATTCTCTCCATTTAGATCACCGAGATGTAAATTTTATTTAGTTTAAAATACATACAAACATTTAGTCGATCCGTTCCTGCTATATGATTAGATTCGTCGCTATGCACGCATACACGACACGTAATATACGCTGCATGTATGCACGCATGCATTAACGCAACTGTATGTATATATGTATCGCTCTCTCAGTTAGTATGCACATAAATAAATTTAGCTTATAAACTGTACGATTTCAACGAGTGCCGCTCTTTATTCTGGATAAAAGATGAGTATGTACATATACAGATGTTTCCCAATGGCCATGGTCACTTATCGCACTTATATTCACAGCATGTCATAGTTCACGAATTCTTTTCTTAACGAATCCGCCGCTATCGAGTGACTGTACTCTTGGAATTATATGGACGATGCCAACTCAAAACGCAAATATTCGCAAACCTATAAATACAAAACGTAATATGCGGAAACTTTGCATGTATTGCGAAAACGTAACAGAGCCAGTGCCAGATATCAATCATTAAATTAGAAACGCGGCCTGTCTGCTCTGTGGTTTGTACTATACATAATTTTGACAAATATTACGGATAGTTGACAGATTATGAGAATTAAGAAGAATTAACAACATACATAATTAAACGTAAAATTTAATAGGAAGAATATAATAAAAGTCTAAATGCGTGAAACAAATTCTGACAACAGCAATCAATACGAAACATACAGGGCATAATAATGCAAAAATTTTTGAATAATAGCCAACTAAAACAAAACTTAATGCGATTCTGAGATTAGATATAATCTATCGCCCACACGAAGTTGAGTGTCTGTAGGCGACCGCCTGTCTCGTTTTGCCAACAAGCTTGATCCTTTTATCTAGGTATAAGTTAAACGGAAAAATTGAAAAGATATCTAATATGATTTTTAAGCTGCAATCATCAAACTTTATATTCGTTTTTTCTTCATTTATTTTGTTCTTGTACAACTAGTTCTCATTGTCCGAGTAAGATATAAGTATGGACCACATAAGAGTATGGATTGAAAGCAAATTTTCGTACAAGTCACTGATAAATAGAGACTTGGCTCATCTATCTTTTTCTCCTCGTTGTTCTTTATCATTTCTATAAAACCTTCCCGTCAGCCTTCCCTGTGTATAAGTTCGTAGAAGGAGAGCGCGGAAAACGAAGGCTATAACGGCCGCGTGAGCGAATGAAGGAAGAAGAGAGACAGAAATGGTCGATGTACATCATTTGGGCGCCGAGAAGTCTGGCGCGACCAAGCCAGGCCAGAGGCGCGTCTTTGGTTACGCGACTATTTGGGGCGCCAAGCTGGTGGCCGCGGCGGTACGACGAGTAAACGAGGATCATGGAAGGACGGCGGGGCAACAAGAGGGCGTAGGTAGGCGTCCGAGCAACGTCCACTGCGTTGAGAGACTTGCAGGGCCGGCGAATGAGGAGAAAAGGGAGAGGTTGCCGAAGGGGGCTCCGCAGGCCACATTCCAGAAGAACGCGAGTTTTCAAACATGCCTGGCCTGCGTGAATGTAGGTCCATGACCGATCCTATAATACGCACACAACGATCTCTTACGGGCTGCGAGCTGCGAGTTACATTCGTCCCTCGTCTCGTTTCTCCTACGTCCACTGCTCGAACGATTCTCCCCATGGTGCGTCTCTTAGTGCTGCTCTATCGCACACAAACGTATATACATATACGTAAACTCTCCCTTCTTCCTTCTCCTTCATGCTCTCCCTTTCCTCGTCCCTCGCGCTAACCGGGACGACCAGGCCGACCGAGCTGGCGACACCCTGTCTGGCAAGACCGGCCGGCGGACAAAAGAGGGGGCGCCTGCTACGTTGCCACATCTTCTGTCTTCGTGCTGCGCCTACCTTCGGCCCCAAGGACAAATCCGACGAGCCGTGCCAGCCGTGCCGACACTAGGCGACTGCCGGTCTGCTGCTGCCTCGATGTTTTTCTTATAATGCTTGTCGCCAATATTATTCTTAACGAATACTTTCATTTGCTCGCTAGAATGCGAAAAATCGGACATCGATGGAATAGGTGGATGAAAAAGTAGCATGTAAAGAAATTACATGCAATTACTCTAATAACATAAAGTAACCAACATAAAGTAAATAAAAAAAACTTCATAAATTATTCGATAGAATGCCTAACATTATTGCGACGCAATTGATATTAGCAATTGCTCACATAGTAAATCGACAGGAAGATCTCAGTTTCACGGACGCAGGTAGTGGAATACTTGAGCGATGAGTCGTACCTATATAACTACACGAAGGCCGATCTGAGCGAGAAGGCAGGTGCCTTCTTGCTGTACGGCGGACGTGTTCAAAAGCAGACCTCATCGTGATGAGCGAGCACAAGAATAGCCGTCGTGATTCTCGGAAATAGAGTAGGGTGCCTCTTCAGAGAACTGCGAGAAGATTCGTCGGCATCCTTGGTTTCTGCCGGTGGCGCGAATCGTGGAAATTTACGAGGCCTCGTCCGCTTCTTTTTATCGGTCTATCTTACTCACGCGCTCGTTCATCGAAGTATATGCGAGCTGATGCGAGCGTATGGCTTGCGTCATTGCCTCGCGGGTCTCTCCGCGCGTTCGTATGCGTTGCGGCCTACGTGTGGCTAAGAAGAGACATGGCAACGGCGCGTGAAGCTAAACATATTAACTGTCGGCTCACGCCACAAAAACAACATGATCTCATTCCACAGCGCATATGCAAGAGGCTATCGTATACCTCAAAATTTCATTCAAAAGCAACTCCAACGGCATGAAAGAAAAGAAACGAAAAGAAAGCAAAAAAAAGATAGAATTCTTTTATTAAAAAAAGGATTGTAAGAACACGAATATATTGCTACTAAACGATATCTTGTGTTAAACTGAAAGATTATTCTAGTTTAACTAAAGAAAATTCTAAAAAATTCTAGTCTAATTAAAGAAAATAATTCCATTCTACTTTACTGTAGAGTTATAAGACAGGCGATTTCTAATTCAATAAGCTTAACATTAGCTATAAGCCATAAGCGTTTTTCTTGGAAGACAAAATCCCCTCACCCACTAGCCGCTTTACCTGACTAAAAGTTCCAGTACTACCGCCGAGTTGGACATGCATATGATATATGTACACTATAACGTTCATATCTTAACATACCTGATTAGTTAGTGACCTGATCTATATTACATATTTAATTTTTCCAGGAATAGATCTTGAGAGATTGTGATTACAATCTGTTTAAATTTTATGCGATATAAATAATTATACTATTTTTGTGTTTAAAATCTATGGATGCTACATAATGTCTTATAATAAATAATAAAAAAAAACTTGGAATGTTACATTTCATGCGTGTTCGACTTCGTGTTTTAAGAAGTCGAACGGAGACAAGATCAGCTTGAAGAGAAAGGCGTGCAAAAATCGGGGCTCCATACTGGCTGCCACGGCGAACTGCTAAGCGGCACGCAAGCAGGCAGTCAGACGTTCGCAGCAGACAACATGGCGCCGAGAACGTCGTCGTCACGCTGGCGTGACGTTTCCCGCGCGCGTCATTAACGGAAGTAAGTCCACAAAATGGCGGAGTTTTACGGCGCTGAGGTGTGAAAGGAAAGAGAGAAAGGAGAGGACATGGGGTGTCTATGCTTGCGGGCAGTTAGGTAGGCGATCGAGGCAGAATGACGAGAGATCCTGTAGAAAGAGAGGAGGTTAGGTTGGTGGCATAGAGAAAGAAGAATGACTGGTAGCTGCCTTCAGCGGTAGACTAGCGTGCTGTACAGATGGGGCAACGATGTGTTGAGGGGGCGACTATTAGATAAAAAGAGAGAAAACGATGAAAGTGATACGTTGAACGCAGATAGCGCTAAAGAAGTAACGAGCGAGTGGGGATACGTAGAGGAGAGGCCGGGAGTGCAAGGAGAGAGACTCGAAGGAATGAGAGAGTAAGAGATGGCGATAGAGCGGAGGGGAAAGACCAGTGAGAAGCAGCGGCAGACTCGCCGGTGGGGATGAAAATTAGTTACGGCATCCAAGACCTAAAAGGAACTCCGGCGCCGCACGGTCAGATCGCATCGTGCAATGTTAAGCGTTAAGGTAGTCTCGTGCGTCTTTGACAGTGCCGGTTTCGAAATTCGTAGTAACTATTACTTGCATCGTCGTTATACTCGGACTCGTGGTCGACGTGACGGCCATTGCTATAGGTGCGATAAAGTTATGTGTATATAATATTTTAAACAAAAACTTCATGGCGTGAGTGAGATGCTCAGTGAGGATAACTCAGTGAAAATGATTCATTCAAAGCAATCAGTGCATCAACAACATCAGCAGCAAAATATGCGAAAATCTATGGGCGTTATGGGTACCAGACGTATCTTCACAACAGCTTTTAAAATCAAGGTTCTCGATTCCTATAGACACGACAAGGACTGTCGGCAAAATCAGCGTGCTACTGCAAGGAAATACGGTATTCATCGTCGTCAAATACAAAAATGGCTGCAATGTGAGGAGCAGCTCAGAAATAGCGTTGAAAATGGGAATTCTGGGACCGTCTCATCGGCAACCGCTTCTTCTGCGAGTGTTTCTAAATCTGATACTGTGACGGAAGTCACAGGGAGTACTGTGATTCTAGCAACGCCGGCCTTGAACCTCAACCTCGCCAGACAGCACGGCGACGAGCTGACTACACAGCAAGGGCCCCCACCTTCTCATCCTCCGCATGGTAGTGCACCCTCCTCGCCCCAATATAGCCTTCAGACTACTACCACCAGCACGGTGGTGCCCCTATGTTTAACATCTGTGAGCTATCAAGAATATTCATCGGAACAACATCTTCGTTTATTCGAAGAACGCGAAGATAGAGTTCACATACCAGAGATTCATGGATATTCAGATGTGCAAGTGGATCAGGACCGTAATTACTACTTATTGAATGGAGACGGACAACAAGATGCAGAAGCAGCTTCAACGTTTAGTGGAAAAAATGAGGTGAAGGTATATCAAACTTTGACAAGTTACCATTCTGCACATCAAGAACATCGATACAACGTCAACGATATTAATAATAGCGCGCGTAATCATTCGCCGAATCATCATCTGCAACAACGAGAGCAGAATTATGGGAACGTCGATTCATTCGACGGGAGATCGTACAGCCTGCTACTAGCGCCGTCGATGATAAAGACAGAGCCAGCGAGTCCAGACACAGCGGCGACGTCAGGGCCGTACGAATCGACGGGTTCTCTCAATGGCCCACGGACCCCGCTCTCGCCAGTATCGCATCAAGGCGTTGATAGCGGTGGCTCTTCGTTGTCCGTTCACTTCGTTGATTCTTCACGAGCTTCTGCAAGTCCGTATTTGCACGTGCACGCGCATGAGCACGCACACACGTGTCGCCCGCTGAATTCTGAGAAGCCTATCCCATCGCTCCTGCACGAGCAAGAGAGAAAGTCAGAGGAGACAACGCAGCATACCGAAGAGAAAAGAGAGGAAGAAATGCAGGACAAGACAGAATATTGCAAGACGTTAATCAAAGAAGAAGTGCACTTGGATGAGGAAGAGATATATAACGAAGGGGAAGAAGCAACTGCATCCTCGTGCATTGACTATCAACGACCACCTGTTGGCGGGTCGTCATTAGATAGTACAGGATCGGTAAATCCTATATACGATCGCAATAGTTACTCCTTACCTTCGAGTCCTCGTGATTGTTCTAGCGCTGGAAGATCTAGAAGTAGCTGGTCAGATAGTGAAGTAGATCCTCTAATAATTTCCTGTAATAATTTGAATTCGTCTAGCAATTTTACTCGCAGACGATCTTTTGCTCTGAGTTTTAAGCTCGATGTTCTCGACGCTTTCCATCGAGATGAGGAAGTAAAGAGAAATCAAAGAGCTACCGCGAGAAAATTTGGCATAAATCGTCGTCAGGTACAGAAATGGTTGGAACAAGAGGCGGATCTCAGAGATGAAATCACTCTTCGAGGAGATTCGCGTCAACGATTGGGCCCTATCCAAAATGACTCACCATTGGATTTGACGACAACAAGTTACACTCCGTCAGGGCAAGTTACAAATTGTGTTTCACTCTTGCGTGATCGACTCGAAATTGAACATGAACTATTGCCAACACACATTTTTGGCGATGCTAATTTTGTTTCTTCTCAACAACCCTTTAATTATCAACACTGCGCTGGAATAGAACCATCCTCTGAAGTAGAATCTGTAGCGCCCTGCAATCTATCTTGCTCCGTAGATAGTCACACTACAATGTCGACGACATCTTCTTATCAAGAGCTGTCTTCAAAAGAATCCTGTTACACAGAGCCTTCGATTAAAACATACTGCTATTCGCCTAGAGCAAATTCCGTGATTTCTAATTTTTCTGAAGGATGCGAGCAAAGATTTTCACCTCTGAAGAGACAACATTGTGTGCTTGCTTGCTGCTATGATGTGATGCCGTCACCGAAAAGATTCTGCGAAAGGTTTCCAGAAATTGACGATTCCTACGATGTACCTCCTCAAAATATGCCTCTTTGTCTTGTCAAACGAAAATCAGTACAGGAACTCTCTCGAACGGAATTGATTACAAAATCAATCAGTACAGTATCGACTTCGAATAATCCTGATGCCATCACTTTCAAGCCTTACCTAGATAATCCAGTGAGTAAACCCATGAAGAAGTGCGTCGTCCAGCGTGATTTATCTCCTATCAGCAGTCATAATATCAACAACAATAACAATAATAATGGTAATTGCCAAATAATTTGTAATTTCAATGAGAGTCAAAGTCATAATTATGATTTTGAGCTTAATTTGCGAGTGCCCTGGAGACCTGATTTAGATCTGTATACAAATCGATTTTCGCAAAGGAGTGCGTTTGTTAGCGTGTCCTCACTCTATATGTAATTTTTCTTTTTGCATATTTATGATCAAACATTAATAATAAAAAATTGTAAATTTTGGAAACAATCATTTATCGTGTCAGTATTTTTTTCGTGTTATCCTATATGGATATATTTCTTTAAAAGTAAAAAAAGGCACGATAATGATTGGATTATAGTCAATTAGTTCGGGGGCGTAAAAATTGACTCATAAGTTTCTCGGGTGAGAATGTACCGGCGAAAGATCGAATGGTGCGTGATCTACTACACGTAGCAGACCACGTAAGCACTTATCGTTTCCACGGATCGTCAGTACTGCGTTATACATCGAGATAAAGTCTTAATCGGCCATTGGACGACCCGAGACATGGAAGGAGGTTATACATGGTCGTGTCCTCAACTGGCGTCTTCTTCTAACTTCATTAGATCTGCTCGACTCTTTTCCCCACCACCATCATCCGCTCGTTCCTTTTAAAAAATTGTATAGATATCCTAGCAGATCTTTTTCCACCACTTTATCATCGAGATTAGAGGTGGTTATCGGCTAGGCCGTTTAGAGGTCGAATTCGTTTGCTATAATTATAGAATTATGTCAGAGCGCAGCCGTTGCGTTGCATCGAAAGAAAGTTCGCGGAAAGAAATGTTTAAGCCGAAGTATCATGAAATGCAATGAATCTGTTGTTGCGGCATAATGTGTAATAAAACAGACAATCAAAATATGTAAAATATTTTTAGTTTAGCACTTGTCTAATCAAATTTTTAATTTGATTTTTTATATCGACATTGCATACTGTGTTGTACAGATGCATTGCATCAAATAAAAACAATACTTTTAGGTCATGCTTCCTCCATTTTCTACGGAAAGTTATCCGCCGACGGGCGTTGATCGCAGGATTTCTTGGTATCATGCCATCCATAGCTTTCCGCGAACTGGTAGCTCGATCGCATTCATCATGGTCGTGAATATGCATTCGATCTGCAGAAATCACTGAATTGCTCAAACTATTTCTTCCATGTGCGCACATATCACACGCGTACCACGTCATACAATAAAATTTTATCATCTCCCTTCTCATTGTTTGACAATGTTGTCTACTTGTTTTCATTATTCTCATTTAAATGGTCTATCTGTAAATATGTAAAAATGTAAATATTTAAAGAAACTCTAGTAAAAATATGACATTATTGAATTCTCGTATTGAAGATTTCTATGACGAATTCAGTGAATATATGTATAGTGTTATTTTAAAATGTTAGAGTTTAATCAATTTTTCTCTTTGGGAGAAATAATCTATTTTTATATGATTCCGTCTGAAAAAAATAAAAAAAGTAAAAAACTATGAGATGGGAATTTGAAATGAAATGAACCACTTCCGCAGAGACCACTTCTCGTGCCTTCTTTTTGTCGGTTTAAGACAAATTGTGAATTGTTCTTTTCACGCATGATATATTTGTGTGCTTGTAACAGCGCATACATTGTATTAATATTTTTAGATGATAATAGACACAATAGAAAGCCTAAAAGGACTCACTCCTTGCGCATCTCGCTCTCTGCAAATTAATTTGATGTGAAATAACGAAAATGTCTTGCGATTAAATACATTAATGACAGGAAGTCATTGCATATTTGTCGAACACAAGACGATGATGATTAATTTGACGGTAAAATCAGACGAAATGAGCAAAAGAGATTAAAAAGATACACGAGAACGGCTCTGAATAAAAATTACGTGCCTTATGTAATATATTTATATTTTAATTACCTATATGTTATAATTGCACGTACGAGACATCTCGTACGTGATAAGACAAACCCCGGTATACATTAATTATATAATGTTGAATATATATTGTAGAATAATATTATCTAAAATAGAATCTAGCATAGATCAACTTAGAAATGATTGTTGATTATTATTCATATTATACACCTGTGTACAACTCACATTCAAATTATAAAAGTTTTCTTTGCATTCGACACCAATAGTTTAGACGTAGAGAGCTATGTATCGGTTTACATCAATTATCATCGAGTCAGCTCCACCATTAAATATCATATAAACAATAAATAACGAACATGGCGAATACTGTCGTCTCAAATATTCAAATGTTTGTATTCTGACAATCAAAATGATGGTGCCTCTGTTCAATTTTCTCTTCACAGAGATAGAGAAATTGTTGAACTTTTAAAAAATATGAAATTAATATAATTAAATAAATATATATAAATTTTTATTCTCTTTATTTTAACAACTTTTATTTAAAAAGAAATATCAAAAAGATAAGATTATACATAATATATATACTCTTTTATATTTTGCGTTTACATATATACGATATATATATATATATATGAATGAATTTTTAAAATATATGTGTATTCCTTTTTGTATAATTTTCTTTATAGCTCTTAAAACTTTTTATTTTTAAAGTTAGAGTTCAGATTTCTAATCCTGAACACTTTATGTTTTTATTCTTGCATAGTTGGAGACAGTTGAACAGACGTAACAATTATAAGTAAATGTCTTTCATAATATGAATGAACTCTCGTTTCCAATACACTGAGATTGAGATACATTATGATCCTCGAGTATAGATAAGCAACTTCTTTCATGTTTGACTTTGCTGGCGAATTATCAGAGGGAAACTTTTGTGAATCATCGTTAGTTGGTCGTAAAGAAAATCATATAAGATTGTTAGAGATATTTTTAGAGATAAAAAGGTCTTACGATATCGATTATAATGTAATGTGGGTTTTCCTCAATTTCCTCATTAGTTAAAATTTTGAAATATTTGCGTCACACTCAAAATAAATGTTAAAAAGAAAAGAAATAATGGTGATGATTTTGTAGGTTTTTACAGATCATTTATCTTTTAATTATCAAATGCAAGGAAATTGATATTAGGTGAATTTCTAAATAATCAAACGGTTGCCAAGCGACAGGCAAGAAGGGCAATTTTGTAAATCACTGTTGCAGACAGGGCAGTTACGTTAATGTTTCAATATTCACGCTTAATCGAGCTCATTCATGGCGCGGCATTATCCAGCGCGATTGCCTGTGCGATCGCTTCGTACCGAGCTCTAATTTATCGTCTCACGAATAAATTCACGACATGATAATTATAATTACAATCTCGTGATGCAACTTATCATATCATGCAATCAGAAATCTTTCTCTCTCTTTTATATCTCTTTTTAAATAGAAAGAAATATAAATTTTACTTAATGTTATTTTACTTAATAATTCGTATTTCAAAAAAATGCACAATGAAAATTTTTAGCTCGTTAAGTTATTATCGTACGTAAAGATATATATCTCTTTTTTATTATAGACATAGAGTAATTCGCCAACAGGTCCGAGGATCAAAAGATAAAATAAAGGAAATAGGTTTGTGCCTTGCTCACCAACGCGATAATAGTGATCAAGGCGGCAGTGTACAATAAAAAAAATTTAGCGTAATCGTAAGCCATAATAAGTTATATAATGCCATAATACATTTATAATAAGAGGCGGTATGACTAACGAAAAAATTTTTGATTGCGAAAAGTAAATCGTCACACCGAAGTGTTTTGTGTGCATGTGTACGCGAATGCGTCGGGTGCGTTTGTAATTTGTGTGTGTAGTATGTATATCATGTACACACCGTAGCCCACAAGAGTCTGTTAACGAGAGGCATAAAGCGTATACAATATTTTTTAAGTGCATGAAAGGGGGAGTCTCGTGGGCGAGCCCCCGTGGTTTTATAGTCCATACAACACACAAGTAAATATGTTGTATGCATAATGTTTGTATTGTACGTGTACAAAACAATTTATATATATACCATATAACTATATATGTGTATGTATATAAATAAAAAATGTAAAATGGATATACTTATACATGCATATGATATATACATATATATATGTATATCGAAAATTATATTTTGATACAATCAACTTACAATAACAAATGCGCCTCTAAATTTGTCAGGTGCCTTCGAATTTTTCGTGCCTTACGGTTCTATAGCGTGAGGAGGAATCAAGAATCAAAAGCATCATCAAGTTGCCGATAAGCATATGTATTTATTGTATTGTATTTGTACGAAATTGTGCGAAAATAATGTACCAGTTCCCTCCTCACGCGCAATATATCAGTATTTCAATTATTCCTTATTTATTATTCTGTTCTATCGCAATGACACACACGAAGAAACTTCATGTTCACCGTCATTTCTGTGCCTTCCCGATCATATTTATGAAAATGTTGTTTCTCTCGTCACACTCTTGCGTGCAATTCGAATAGCCAAAATTCAACGATTATTCGACGCTGTGTTGCTTATCGACATATTATCTTGCGTTTATTAGCACATACGTGGTCAATATCGAGAAAGAATAAAAAAGAAAGCGGTTTCTTTGATGTGTGGCAGCTCAGAAACGCGACAGTCATAGAATCGAACAGTTTATCGACATTTTCACGTTGCAAACGATTACGATAACATTATTAATTCTGTATTTTACTACACGCTTTTTTTCATTATTATCGACTTTGTTTGATGACCACATCCGTCATTGTGATTTATCGAGAGGAAACGAATGGAAGAAAAACAGAGAGAAAGAAAGAATGTGTGTGTGCTGTGTATGTGCGCGCGTGTGTTAAGTATCCACAGCAGAGTATCGGAGAACGAGAGTGTATGATCTTAGTATATGAGAAGTGCAAGAGAAAGGCATTGAGATACCAATCCTTTTTTTGTACGTTAAGAAATGCAAGAATTACTGTATTAAATATTGTATCATATACACACACATGCCTATAGATTGTATGAAGCGTATCAAATAACATAAAAATGCTCATTTTGGCATTCACAACGTTTTGACACGTTTTATATAATATAGAATCTTTACCGAATTTGACAGAAAATATAAGAGATTATTTTAAAACAAATCCCCCTGTTATTACTCTGCCCCTACTTGTTTAATTAATTTTTTTAAAGTTATTCACATGCAATTGTCATCTGATATCAGCTGCAAATCTATAGAAT